GGATAATGACTTCCTGAAATTTTATGCATCTCCGTAAATATCGATAGATCGGCTTGGATGAACAATTCGCTGCATATTAATCGATTCTTTTCTAAAACAGAATCGTCTACGCATTTTCGAACAAACGTAAGAATTGTTTTCCTTCAAAAACCAGATCTTTCGATATTGGTAAAATTAATTACTGACTTCTAATCACGAAGACATGCTTGCACTGTTGTTGGCTTATTTATTGAATTTTAAAGGAAAAAATTACACTGCAACAAAGTGGTTATAATATAACGCTATTACTACGATGTATGTACGTGAACTTGTTTAAGGCCTGTGTCCACGACGCTAGAACTTGGTCCAAAAAATATGTAGCCAATCAACTTGCAGCTTTTGTAGAATAGCTGCAAGTTGATTGGCTACACATTTCTCGATACTAGAACTAGGACCAAGTTCTAGCATCGTGGATACAGGCCTTTACACTTTCAATTAATTTAATTTTGTACTTATAACTGAGAAAAGATATCTAGATTGTTTAAATATTGTAGAATAACGTGTTGGAATATAAATCAAAGTCCAATGAGGATAATCTGAGGAATAGTATCTTATCAGAAATAAGTTGTGAATTATGATGAGGACAATCCTTAGATCTGAGGACCTTAATATCCATAAATATATATGGATAAGTCAAACTCTGGCACCAATTAACACCAAAATCAATACTAATCTTCATTTAATGATAGTAAATTTTTAAAAATTTCAAACAGTTATCTCAAAATATACAAAAGTTATAGTGTCCACGAGAATTTCAGCGTACACACATATACACAAACATTTTGATATAAATGTGAATTTTCGACGTTTGGAATATTTCTAACACAGTGGCAAAGAACAATGAGACTTAATTTTTTTCACGAAAACAAAGCATCCTCTAGGCGGAAGCAATAACGAGTTGGAATGAGAAATCAAAGTTCAATGAGAAGAATCCTCAGATCCGAGGATTGTTCTCATTTTAATTTACAATGAAGTTATTTCTGCTAAGATACTACGTGTGATTACAATGATAAGTCTGAACTGGTGGACACGATTATCTTAGTAAATAATGATATTTAAACCACCGCGGTTTCCAAGTATTTCTGATATCCAATCGAGTATCGATAATCGACACGTTTGTTTGTATCCGGGGCTGTTTGAACGCGTTTGCGGGGACAAGTTACTGCTGGATCATTGCAAATACGATTCGTTCTTTAGGAAAACGGGCGACAACAATCGATAGCGGTTATCTGCGCCGAACCAAATATCGGATCGCGCGGAAAAAGGGAGCCAAGAGTGGCGTGTGGGGAAGGGATACACAAACGGCGTGCCGAATTTACGAGAGCGACGCTGGCTGTTCAAATACTATCAAATTCGAATCCGATTGAGAGCAGGGGGGGGGGCTTAGCGATCCTACCGATCCTTCCCATCTCCTCGATCGAAGGCTTCGGGACTCGATGTTCTCTCCTCGCCGACTTAACGTCGGGGAAATCAGGTCAGAGCTCGCGCTTATCGATCGCTCGGCGGGAATCTGCCGGGCACTTATTCTTCCGCGCTACGGTCGAAGATGGAAAGAAAGGAGATAAATATCGGCGAACCGGATATTGAGAGGAATAAATAGATAACGTAGGTTTCGTATAACCCCGTTAAGTGCCGATTCGTTTCCGAAATGTGCGAGCTTCCCGGGGAAGAAGTAAGCGCGAGAGGAGTAAGCGGGAGAAAATAAATAATAAATTTTCTCGATGATGGAAGGAAATAACGAACGAGCGAATAGTAATCGCGAAATTGTATCGAGCCAAATGTCAAAATAATGTAATAATCCTACACTCCTCGGTTAATTTAAAAGTGATGACGCGGATAATTGAGTATGAACACTGGCGCGGATTTCAGACGTCTGCGTAGATAAGATAAAATATGATTATCAACGCGTAACGTGTGATTCCTTTGACGTTCGTGCGAATCGCGATAAGCCTCGAACATCGCGTGCACCAGCGCACTTGGCGAGAGTAATGTAACAGATAGCACGCTCGTTTTCTCGCTCGTTTTCATCCCGCGCGCGCGAGAACGAGACTGGACCGGAGTGCAGATCCCGATAATTATAATCAGTCGGCGGGGTCCAGCGTGAAGGCAAGGGGGTCGGCGACGATCGTCAGAATTGTTGGTGCCGTGGGGCGGCGGCGGCGGCGGCAGCAACCAGTCGGGAGGGCGGTGGACGCGAGAGGGTAAACCCCGTGTATCGTCTCCGCTCGCAGCGACAGAGGGTGGACAGAGCATTTACATCATTTAATTTATGACCCTCTCCGCCGCGATCGGCCTGTACGACGGCTCTCGGCAGCGCGCACGCATACACGCGCCCACGGCGATGCACCGTCGTACAAGTGCACGCACGTACACGCGCGTTGTACACGACACAGTCGCGCGACGCGCCCACTAACGCGCCGGCGGAATAAATTTGCATATGCATGTGACTGTGCGTTCGGTTGGGGACCGCGCGGCGGGAAGAGGGAGGCTACGAGACGACCCCGATGGAAGCTATCCACGGGCAAGAACGGGAGAATGAAACACACATCGGCGGCCACCCTCTCGAATCGAGCCGGGGCGGTCATTGCGATCGGATAGTGGCACTGAAAAAGTAATGCGTTTGCTTTAAGTAATTTCATTTGCTAGAACTCGGTCCTTCGGCTTCCTTCTACGTGTAGTTTTATAGAGATTGCTGCATTTTCCGCTCTCTCCTCTCTTTACTCTTCTTCCACTCCCTCTCCCCGGCCTTTCTTTTATTTACACGTTTCTCGCTAATTAACTCGACTAACGAATGGTAGGTTCTACAAGAACCCCCTATACTTTGGAAATCGGCAAACGTGATCCGAAAAAAAAGGGTTCACAATGTATTCGACGGTCGTACGGACGCTCCCGTGAGTTTCAATTCGCCCCCTCTGTCTCGAATAAGAAAATCGCGGTCCCGCGATCGTAGCCCGGCTGCCGCCACCGGATGACAACTTGCGGCCGAAACTCCGGGTATTAGCGGCGGCGAAACTCAAGGAAACGGGCCGTCTTATACCATAACCTGTAACGTGTAAACGGGAGTATTTGGCCCGGGGATTACCGAAACTCGAAGTTTGATTGGCCGTGCCAGGGGTATCAAGTTTTGGCGGGGGCGTGTGAAACTTGGGTTAATTTGCCGGGTTGTACCGGGCGCAGCGAACCTCCAAGTTCAGTGGCGCGAAGAGGGCGAACGTGCGGGGTGCAATGTTGTCTTTGATTGGATTGATTGGTTTCAAGTTTTTCTCTCCGCGCACAGTGTCCAACGCTCTCTCTCGAAAACACCGCGGATCCCGTTCCGCGGCCTCTCGCACAGCAGTCAGACGCGATGAAACGCGGATGCAATTTGGATAAAATCAGTGTTTAAATTACACGTGCATTATTGACGCTTATTTCGTCGGTATGACGTTATAATTTATTATACGAGTAATAACGTTTATGAATTTGTCATGAAAATTTATCACGATATTTTATAAATCGGCATTAATTTGCGTAATATTTAGAGCCGCTTTTGAATATTTAATATATTGTTTTTGAAATTATGTGCTCACGGAAATACTTTCAAACGTTACGACAGTCGCTTGTCGTTCGATTGACAATATGTAAGACGCTTTCGACGACACTTTTCGCGTCGATGCGAACGACGAATATGACGCGAATAACGCGTGACTTCGATAATTGATATTTATATTAATCTGCTGTACGTGTGGATATTGTATTTTATTCGCAATATCTGTACTTTCTTATCGTAACATCGGCATACGTTCATTATAACAGAGCTTTGTTCTCATATTGGGATATTTCGCAGAAACATTAAATAGAGCTGACGTACCACAAACAGTTTCGTGCGAGATGTTCCCTACGCTTTATCCAATATATTCGTTAAATCGCATCGATACACCGTACGGGAATCTCGAATAAAATTCCAATAAAATTCGAATCGGCGCGGGCGCCGGCGAAGGAACGACCAGAATTTCGGCAATTTTGTTTTATCGTCACGGCGAGATTTTGAACGATGCTGGTGGCTCCAGATAAAGACGTAATTTTCTCTTTTCTTTAATTACGGGAACACGTAAACGCGACACAATTCTTGCGAAGCGCGCGATGAAGGGGCACCTCTTCGCGAATATTCTCACTCTTTATTCGGGTGTCTCTGAATAAAGAGTCGACGCGAGAACGCTTTTGCATGACTTTAAATTAAAACGCGTAATTACACGAGAGCGAATTTGCTTTCAATTAGTATACGATTATCCGCTCCCTTTCCCTTCCTCTTTCTTTCTTACTCTTGTATTCTCTCTCTCTCTCTCTCTCTTTGTCTGTCTGCCTCTTTCTCTCTCATCGGACTCATTCGTCTCTGAATAGCTGAAATCGATTTTCATGTAACGACACGGTTGTGTAATTCGCGTTTGCCGCAAGTGACCGAAACGGAAAATTCCGGGAAATTCCAATTTTTAATATCGAGAAATGGTCGGTAAATAATTCGGTGATGAGACTTAAAAAATATTCTTTACAAACAAGGCGCAGTTGTGTGAAAGTCACTTACAAAAATTGGAGGCCCTCTCACCATTTATTGCGTTATATTGTTCAGTCTTGCGAAACCATGTTACAGTCCCCGAAACAAAAATACCACTCTTGCGGTCTCTCGGCGTCGGATATCGTACGCACAAAATTGAATTCCTCAATTCTCTACATACATATCGCGTGATATGCGCGCTCGTGTTTCACTACGCTTTTTGCGCGAAAATTTGTCTTGCGAATATTTTCTAGCACAACATTTTTCTCAGCATTTTTAGCACGGGGCGAAATAAACGCTTTTGAACGCGTTACGAGCATTCGATTGAAAGCACCTTATGTGCACGATGAATTTGATTTCATATTACCGCGTTACTAATGCAAAATTATTACTTTATGTTACAGAATGTCAGAAGGCAGTTTGCTATGGCTCGTGTACTGACGCCACCACAACTGCCCTCCAAGCCGCCCCTTATCTCTTCATGGCAGCAACGGTAAGTAAATTAAACGTATAATACCTCTGTGATGCAGCCATTAATATAACTAAATACTTTCGCAGATATTTGTACGTACAAATCTTCAAAAAATCGTGGAAAGAAATTCTTTCGGCTTGCGATTTTTTAATGAAGTATAACGTGATTAATTATTTAGTTAGACTTGGGCTTTTTTCATTACTTTCTATATAACAATCATTGTAGAATTACAAGGGACTAATGGATATCGACAAACTTCTCTAATATCTGAAATAATCGAGAGGTACTCTAAAGTCTCTTGTTAGTTGCACCCTCGCGTACACCTTGCGTGTACGTGTACACATTCACGAAGGTATAGAAAGCCGCTTTGCGCGCTCCCTCTCTTTCTCCTTCTCTCGTTCCGCGGTCTCTCGGACAGAGTCCAGAATTTCAGACCGCCCCTTCCGGATATTCGTTCGTCGTATATCTTCGAGCCAGCCGCGCACTTCGGTGCGTGCGATTGCCAGTCTACTGATTAGGGAAAGGAGAGAAACGCGGCCGAAGTCGCCACGCGAGTTACGTGTGACAGTTTAAGAGCGGTACACGGAACGATGTTATCTACACTGAGAAAAATATTCTGTTAAATATAATCGGATAATCCATTTATACGATAACAAACGGATATATCCGAAGAAAAATATGATCGGTTTATCAATCAAATTTCATCGGATGTGTCCATTAATTTAGTCGGAAAACGAATTCGGAAAAATTAACCATCGGAAACGCTATTTAATTGGTTTATCCGATGGAAATTTTTCTCAGTGTACGTTCTCTTGATAACCGGTCAGTCTGGTTCCTTCCGTCTGCATCAGACACTTTGCAACAGCAAGACGTAACTCGGGGTTCAGGTATTTCATCTAAATGCCGTCCTCTCTTAGGTCTTCGATCTCTTTCAACACTATCGCAATCTTCGAATTCGTTACAGGGTGGGGGCGACTTTACTCCTTTAAAGAAAAATTGTATTTCCCCGAGACTGTAACGGTGAATCCACTTTACGAGAAACCCACCTAGTGAGAGCGAGATTCAGGTTCAAACCCTGGCTGAGGTAAATTTTTCGCAATAAATTTAAAAATTAAAATCATTTGGACAGTAACATATTACATATTTATGTAATATACTTGAAAGTAATTTACATAGGTTCCATACAAGTATATGCAAGTGTGTGCGAATAGGCATTTACGTTTACTTTTGAGAAACTAATAATTCCGGGGGTACGCGGAATATCTGGAATTGAAGGGTTGAAGATATATTCCCCCAGAGATACGTACATCGCGAAATCAGCACGCTATTACGCCGTGGTGCTTAATGGGAAGAGCGACGCAAGATGAAAGGGCCGTAAAGAGAGACACGACTTCGCGTTTAGGGTGGCGTTCGCCGTTTGAAATACGTGCGTGTCCCGATGCGCCCGGGGTGCGCGCGGGGGTGGAGGGGTATGGGGGGGGGGGAAGGGTAATCGGAGGGCTGCTGCGCGTTCGAATCGCGTCGACTTTGCTGAATGTGCGGTGGCGCTTCGATTAATAGTTATTGGTTTCGTTGCCGGCTGCGGACGCCTCCGCCTCGGCTTCCTTTTCTCCTCTCCTCGTCCGTGACGGAGCGCCAGCCGTATCGGCAGCTTCGGATAATATTAATCGCCTTCGAATCGCGCCGCGAAACGCCCGATCGAACCCGAAGGGTGTGGGCACCCACGGGGTAGGATACGCGAGTGTATCGGCACGGGAATACCGCACGAGGAATTACACCTTGCACGCCCGTGTCAAGCGAAATTCGAGTGTAACATGGTAGCGCGTGTTTTCGCGGCTTTACGTTTCTTTTTATAATATTTGATATTCTCACGCAATGTTCGCTGCGCGGAGAGAATTTTCTCTTAAAATTTATCCTGAAAATCATGCGATTGTGGGACGTGGCGTTTTGAACAACTTTATGAGTTTCTTGAAATTTTACCACACATTTTACTAGTTAAATGTACACTAACAATATAATTACTAGTGAAATGTACGGCAAAATTTAAAAACTCACAAAATTTCTTGAAATGTCATATTGTCCCGCGATTACACAATTTTTAGGATTTTTAAAAGAAAATTCTCTCCGTGTACAAAATAATATAAGTAGAGGAAAGTCCTCTATTAGGAGATAGGATTCTAATATGAGATAGTAGGTTTCTCAGTCACAAATCTTTTTTCGCAACGATTACACGGTTTAACAATCAATATTCCACTAAACAGATTTCACTTTAAGGGCAATACATTTACGGTGGAACCAACAGACAATGCCTATTAATTTAGCAGAGACCTCACTGTCTCATATTAGGTTTGGTCATCTCTAGTCTATTAAAAAGTATAGCAAAGAAAAGCTTGGCATAATGAAGAATGGCGGTTCTATGCAGAAATGATTGGCATTAAAAAAAAATTTAATATTACATGAATCTGGAATATCCACGGCCCGTTGACGTATCCTATGGGAGAACAGAATGGGGTGACTGGTCGTCGGTTTTGCGGTTAAATGCAGACTCGAGATAGCGCTAATCGTTTTCGAATCGTATCGCGATTTGTCGTAGATGCGGGCACTATCAACGCGAACATTCATTTTGATCATGCCGTCCAACGGCGGGGACCGACTTACCGCCGTCCTCGGTATTCGCGTGTCACGTCAATGTATCGTCTAGCGTTTATCGCTGGTCGATAACGCGCGGTGCACGCACCTGCGCCAGCATCGAATTTTACGTCGCCGTGGACCACTCCGAGGTCGCTGGGAGGCCTGTGACACGCGAGAGATATTCGTTCCCGCAGGGATGACAAATCCGCACAGTCATTTAGGCTTAACGAACCCGCGGACCCGATCTCCACTACGAATACTCGCATACATTTACATATCATACATACGGTTTCGCGAACGATAGTGTAATAAACATTTGAGCAAAATTCTAAGTGAAATACGATTTAATTTAATGATAGAGGAAAGTCCTCTATTATAAGATGGGTTTCTAATAAGAGAAAGCAGGTTTTCAACACAAGTAAATTCAATCACAAGTCTTTTTTCGCTACGATTATACAATCTAACAATTTTCCACTAAACAGATTTCGCTCCAAGGGCAATACATTCATAGTGGAATCAACAGATGATGAATTTAACCCTTTGAAGCATGGTGGTAACCCACGTTACCACCTCAACTTCTTTACTTTTTGGCCATTTAATTTCTAATTAACGCATTTACGTCGGGTTTTTTGCATTTCTTGGGTATCTTAACAATAAAAGAACACAAAAAAGTTGAGTAGTCTTTAATATTTATTTTACAAGTTTTAAAAATAAATTTGAAAGAACGGCAATTTTTTGGAAAAATTTATTGTTGACCAAGTGAGGAATCATATACATAGATACGTGGAATTGATAGAGTAAGACAGCGAGAGTTGAGAAGCTCTTTTTTATTTTGTACTTAAAAAGAATAAAAAGGAATAAAGCGCATCCTTTGCTTGCTAATTCTATGCGATCCTACAATTATAATTCATAACGTGAAGGCTTATAAAAATTTGATTTTACATTCTTATATACATATTTCTGTATGCACAGTGATGGACAGAATGGTTGCGACACTTGTTTTATAATGAGGAACATTTGATTTGATGGCCATTCCGAAACCATTTTGAGTGTTTCCGATCAAGTAAAATTTTCCTCCGAGAAAATGTCTTGGAACGTAAATCTGAATCTAAATGCGCAACCATTCTGTGCATCACTGTACATCTGTTGCTCGACTATTCACAATCAATTGAAGTCGACACGAGAGCATGTCCCTTTCGGTTTCTTTATGAATCTTGCTCGATTTATTGCGTCACCGTAAAATACAGTTATTTGGCAAAGTTTGGAAAGTGAAAGTTGGCTATGAAGTTTGACAGGAATGAGGGAATAATGAGAAATAATTAGACATCGCGTTTTTGCCGAGACAGGCGCGGATAAACACTTTCTCCTACGGAAACTGGGGAGGGCATAAAGGAGGCGGACATAAATATTCAGCCTCTAATCGAGCGCCTTGCTCCGCGCCATGCCGTCGTTAATTTTCCGTAAAGGCCGATGAAGAGAGTAAAAAGTTAAGGCCGAGTGTATCGGGGAGTGTAAAAGCGTAGACTCTACGTAACGAGCAACACGGAGGCCCTTCCGGTTACTTTTCCGTCGAGTTATTGCATCCGCGCCTCTCGCCATCGTTAAAAGGTAAACGAGCTACGGTTCTTTTCGCGAGACGATGCTTTATCGCTTTATAAGTAGTCACGATGAAGTAGACAATCGTGAAGGCTATTATAGCTCGCTTCACTGCTTGTAGCTGCAGCTCGTTCGTGTCAGCGTTCATCAGGATCGACTCAATTTCCCTCCTCTGTTCGCGTTAAAGACAATGAATGACCGAAGGACTCTAGAACAAAAATTGTCTATGTAATTTTGGCCGTCGGTGCAGCTAGATCGTGTTCATACGGAATCGTATCCCTCTAGAGTTCGAAACGTAGCGTCGGTTAAATTTTAATTCGTTTCGATGATCCGTTATTTGATGAAGCAAACGTATTTTTCGTAAATGCATTCCCATTTACGTCAATGTGCTCGGGATATGCGTGCATAGAACGAGAGTTGATCGCCGGCAAGGTATGGGATGTAAAACAGCATAGCGAATTAGCCGTGCATTTGAACCTCATTCCGTTTGCGTTGGGAATACCCGTGCTAAGCGAGTCGTGCCTCCAATTTTAAGGCAAAGCAAACCTGACGTTTCCATGCCGTTGGTTTTCATTAAGAAGCCGGGCGGCAAGCAAATGTAACCGACTGGCCGTGCTTAGCATTCAGCCCCGCTCGTACTAGCCAGGTTTGCTATAAGTTTCTGCCGGTCCAGCGACCCCTTCGTAACCTTCCTCTCTCGTTGTTCCGGTCTCGGTAGTACATGCGGAGACGATAAAGGCGATATGCAAACGAGACACGTGCGCTGCTTGTCCCTAATTAATGTGTCAATTGTA